AGAGGGAGGTCTGGGCATCTTTGCTTAGACTGCTGCCCCCGCGACCCGGCCCCGGATAAGCGGAAGAAAATGGATGGATGGATGGATGGTTTTATGTTCAAGTTTATTTATTTTGGAATAATATTGTATCCCGTCTGTTTTGATTAATAAAACGTTTAGTTTTAGTCTGTTTAATAAATTTTTATCCTGTTTGGACCGCGACCTAAAGAGTGCTTTGAGTTTTGGGCCCCTGAGCGATTGAGTTTGACACCCCTGACTTAAATGGTGTGAAAAGAGCACAGAATACGATCAAGGGTAAGTTATCACAAAGCCTTTGAGGTGACGTAGCAATATTAGAGGATAAAAGTCGTTTAATCCCCTGTTGAGATGGCCTGGCATGTCATTCACTGGGCTGGAAATATTATCTCCTCTAACTGTTAATCAAAGTGTGTCACATGCTTGTACATGTTTGGTTGTTTTATAAGTATGTGTGTGCGTGTCTCAGAGTGGGTGAAAAGAGAACACCCCAGAACATACGGTCTTGACCTTGGCCCTGGTATACTGGTCCAGTCCAAAGACTTCAGATAAAAATGGAGAGAACAGCTTCACTGACATCATTGGTTTGGCTGTTGAACTGTTAGTGGGCCAAGAACACAGAGCACAGGCAACTGACTTCACAAGTGTCAAACCGTGACCTAAATCTGTGGTTTTCGAGGCTCTGTTGTACGTACCCTGTGTTCTGCTGCTTGTTCAGGCGACATGAACGAGGTGAACACAGTGTACTGCTTTACAAGAATGCAGCTGACTGGTTCTTCACAAGTTTGACCATGTTTGAATTTGAAAAAAACATCAAGAAGATAAAGTTATTTCTTATTTGAAACACTTTCAAATTTGAGGCCTTAGATTTTTTTTTTAATTGTGGAGAGGAAGCTGAACTGTCGAGCAGATTTAGTTCTAAGGTGCCTGAACTGGCTTAGTGCATAATGTTTATTTTAATGACTTCAACCCTTAATGTGGCAACCTACTATTTCAAATTGTCATCCTCTAACTTCTAGTTTCATTGTTGCTGGGCTACTCAGGATCTCTGTATGTGTAACTGCAGGTTGTCATCTTTTTTTTTTTGTTTTGATATTTAGAAAGAGGCCAAGACTGTTTCAGTAGTGTGCATTAAGTAGGAAAATACAGAGGTAGAAATGCCAGCCTTCCTAGTTTTACAATCTAATCACTGTGATCAATATGTTTGTTTACTGACAAACTGGACACAGGACATGCTGGGTGGTGCAGAGAAGCTGCCCTACTGTAGTTTGTGCATCTCAAACTCATGTCAGTATTATATTAAATCTGTATTTCATTGTTTAAAAAAGACTCCCTCTGCCCAGTACTGACAATCTGATCATCAACACGCCAGCCCCGCCACCATTAGACATACCGTGTCTGGCTGAATGTCAAAATGTCAGGGGAGAACAACTAATCAAACTGAAATAAACACGACACCAAATACAGATTAGGGCTTAAGTCACATAAACGAGCAGGGAAAAAAAAAAGAAAGACAGATACATCAATACAAAACAAGATCTGCTCATATGCACTTGTCTCATATGTACATAAGCTTGAGGAGAGATCATGTTTTTAACTGCAGAGTACTTGTGAAACAGCAAGGCATTCAAATGAGAAAAAAATAAAACAGATTTTTGTCTTCAACTGATTTTTAGTATTCAAGAAGCAAAACTGGACACTAGAAAAAGGTCCAAACGCTTCTATCTCTCCTCTTCTCAGTGTGTTCTTCCTCATCCTGCCTGTGTGATTGTACTGTTTACTTACAGCAGTACCACTGGAGGTAAGCCTTTTGGCAGAACGTTCCTCAGTGCGTGGGCTGTGTGATCTAGCTTTCATCCTAACCTCCAAATGTATTAGCAACTGATTTAAAGACATTCAAAGTCCCTCAGACCACTCATAATAGCATTTAAAATAAATACGTCAACAGTGCAGCTGTGAATTTCTAAACATCTGATTTAAAAAAAAAAAGTGTAAATGTTATGCAGGGCCCCTTAGGGCCGAGACACATTAGGCAGACATGATGACGGCTTGTCAGTGGCTGATAGCTGACCATCGGCTTGGGGTGTCACACGCCTACTGCTCAACTAGGCCATCAACTCCTCCTCAAACTTCTCCAGATTCCAACCTAAATAGGTTATCACTCATCACTGTGACATTAAAATTTCCCATCTGTTCATCATTTATTTAGATGATTTTCTTCCTGTTTTTTTTAATATACGGCGCATTAAACTAAAACCTTCTCATATGCTGCATGCAAGGCATTTTGCTGCATATTTATTCATAATAACATCCATGCATTAGGCATAAATAAGAATCAAAAACAAAGGAAGAGTGTGCTTCTCTGATTATGTTATTCTTTTGCCCCATAATTCAAGCAAATTGAAGAAAAAAATAGACAAAGTGCATTTTTCTCTCTGTACATATTTTACCTTGTGTTCCTGTGGTCTTACGGTAATTAACAGAATTAGGAATGAGCCTGGAACCAAATTAGTAAGATTACCGTTACTGTAAAAGTGATCCAGGATTTTGATCAGACATAAAACTAAAAATGTCATCGTATTTATGTACAAAAGGTGTATGCCTGGAAAAGGGAGGGAAAAAACAGGCCTTAGAATAACTGGATAAAATTCAATCACGCCTACAAGCCATGTTTTCTTTTTTTTTTTTTTTTTTTTTTTTTTTTATCTCCGTGGCCAAGCCAACAGTAGCTTTGCTCACTTTTCCTGTTCACTACTTACTGTTGCTCCATTTCTAACAGTGCGAGTCACAACAGAACATGATGCTTTCTACTTCCAATCGAGGCAACGTGATCAATTACAACTACACCGTTTTCTTCCTGGTGTGCATCCTAAGAAAACACATTTAAGAATCAAAACTGACTCTCCAACAGCCCAGCCTTTGTGTCAAGCCTCGCCAAAAACATCACAGGCTCTCAGTACTGCACACGCAGAAATGGGATTTTACTGTCTCATCTAGCTCTTTGTGAGACTGTTCAAACACTGAATTAAAACTAAAACACCCACTTGTACCATCATAGCAACAACAACAAGCTGCAGCACAGCAGCATCACTCCCACTTAATAATTAGGCTAAATCTGCCAACAAACTAGCCAAAATCCTGTTTCTTCACATTGGTCATTGATCCACGCCATCTCCACTGAGCTCCACCAGCTTCAGTTATGCCCATACTTGCCATGATTCTTTCTCACTGTCTTAATTTTTCATGTGCTATGCTGAAATTTTCTATTCTTAAGGTACCAGTTTTTGTGCTGGTACCTTGGCTGGTTTAGTCCTGTCATCAACAGCTGTCTCCCAAAGCTTTACATAATCTTCATATTCTGTACGGTGGATAGTTCACAGACAGTGAAACAAGTGTCAAGCTGTTTTTAATGGCAACCAATTTCCAACATAGTTTGCAGATTATCGTTTTTTTTTGTTTGTTTTTTTTTTGAGCAACATCCTTCTTTCACAGCCAAAATACCTCAGTGCAGGTAAGCATGATCTACCAATTAAATTAACCGCATAGATTGCTAGGCTTTTGATGTTCATATTTTGTCTCTTGGCACTGGTTGTTCACTCATTTTAGACTTCGCTAATGCATTTTTAGGCAGCTATACTAGCTGAACTTTTGGTGCAGTGATCATGTATATGCTACGAGTGCACACTGGCACAAGTGTCGTGTAAGGCCACCTATTTTAACATTTATTTAAATGTTTATAAAAGCAATTGCCTTATCTTACTTATTATCCAAGCATAGAAACTGGACAGGAAGAGGGCAGCTGTCAGGAATGTTGGCAGTGAATTCATGTGTTTATAGCAGATTTAGCTGTAAACAGCCTTCCAACAATGTCTAGATGAAATTCTGCTGTCTACTGTACTGTTAATTGCATATTTTCTGTTATTTGCAAATTAGCAGTTAATACAGTTATGTCCCCAGGGCAGAGGCAGTGATTATACATTCAGTAGTTTTATAGGTGTGTGATTATGTAAGGGGAAAACGCCTTTTTGTGGATGAAGGGGTGAACAAAAACAGATCAATGAAGGAAAAATAAACATTACAGTAGCAGGGGAAGAGTAGATTTGTAGTTCTGAGAGACCAAAAACTAAAATGAAATATACACTTAAAAAAGGTAATGTGATGAATCGCTATGCTATTAAAACAGATGGAGCTAGAATCAAGAGAACTGGGCAGTACCTGTTCATTGATGGAGCTGTAGTCATTGGTAGTGGAGACGTCATCGTCATCCGAGTCAAACAGACCCTCCTGGTTGTCCAACAGCTCTGCCAGGACTCTGCTGACAGAACCTTGGTCCCGAAGGTCCTCTCCTTCTGTTGATAGGCTGCAGATGGAAGACAAGATTCTGTTGTGTTTACTGTGGAACACTGACCAGGAATGTTAAAAAAAAAAAATCCAGTAACTAAATAAACATGTGTCAAAGTGCATATGTGTACGATCAAATACGCACAAATCTTACCAATCTGCATCTTGGTACAATTGTGTGAAATAGCGTACTGTTAATAAAATAAAATGAAGGGAGAAATACTCAAAACTTCAAAGTTTTAATACAAAATTATAGTGGGAGATCCATCCCCCCAAATACTCTGTGTATGAATATGGATGCAAACAATTAAAAATTCCAGACAGCTTGTCTAGAGCTTAGTAAAATTGTAAATATGAATTCTTACTTGCCCTTAGCTCATAGTACAGTAACACTTTCAATTATTTTGCAAGGGTACAGTGAATTTTTAGGCTGCCTTATACAAGTATCTTACTGGAAGATGTCTGGT